AGACAACCCCGTAACAATATGCGTTTTGTACTGCTGTTACACAGCACAAAACGCATAATAAACAGCTCATCTTATGTTTTTCTACTCTCCATTGGTCTCAATTCCTCAGTCAAATACAGCACGACATAAATTTTTAAATATATGCAAGCCAATATGCATAAACCACTGAAGTCCCACTCAGAAATTTTTCTAAAAATGTGTTCCAGTGGGGCATCCATGTAAGCGTAAGCGGATCCAGGAAGAATTCCTGGGGAGAGGACAGGGGAGGAGGGGAAGCGATGGGGGTGCAGAACAGAGTTTCTTCAATTTTAGCTTTAAATCCGGATTTTTCCAGCACTGGTGTCTGTGTCGCTGGGCGGGAGAAAGGGCGAAATACCCATCGCCCCAACCCCTCACCTTTTGGATTTGCCAATGCATGTCAGATCCCGACAATATGATGTGCAACGGGACACCTCGTGGAAGGGAGTTGAAGTCTTGCTTGGAAGCAGAAGCTAAGGAACGGGGTTTATGAGCGAAGTTTGAAAAAAAAAATTCCTCATGCAGAAAAACTAATTTACAAGATGCTACAATAATCGTTGGTGGTACTTGCTGCTACTTAAGCTATTTCAGTGCTTCAGTCCTTCAAAAGTAAATACGCGGACGAAACTGACTTGAGCTTGAATGGAAACAAAAATTCGAAAGGAAAGCAGCAGCTAAAAGCACTAAACCTGGACAAATTCGTGCTTATTCCTCTGATTGACTGGTATTTCTGCACCATTTTCCTTTAACTCCACATCTTTTCTATGATCTAACAAAGACAAGGAAATCACGAACGATAAGCCAAAAACTTCCTCGACGTCATCTTCTTCATAATCCAGGAGAGATTGCAGTGACCTGGAAGATAACCATATTGCAGATTTTTAAAAAATTGTTACAGTGAACTTAGACATATGAACACTTTACTTTATGGTGAACTTAGACCACTTTTAAACGTTACCGGAAAATTCGATTTCACTCCCAAAGTCGTATTTGAATGAAGCCCAAGCGAGAAGCACATTTAAACAGCAAACACTCGTTCGCACGGCAGTCGACGACTCTCCTTTAGAGAACACCTACTTCAAAAAGCTTAGTAAATAATTTGAAAATGAGCGCTGACCTTCCTTCAGTAGGACTGAGTTCAGTAAGATCTTCGAGTTCTACTGGAACTTTCAGGATAAGCTTGTAAAGAGCCAACGGGAATGGGAAATCAACCAGCACACTGTTGTAAATTGCCAGACCACAAAGCATCCCAACAAGCTGGAAGACCGACGGAGAGGTCTGGATTCCTGAGAACCAAATCAGATGAGATTCTTCATTTTCCGTGAATAATCCATATCTAAAGCTTTTCGGGAACAGCAGTTTCGAAAAAAACACTGACTTCAGTCAAAATTTAAATTCATCCCGTAAAAAGTGCTTGACAGACAGTGTTGTATTTAAACGAGTAGTAGCATTTTGCTAAACTGGTCTCCATTTCCAGTGTCTAACTATGGGTAACTACTGATAGTGGGCTCAGCTTGGCTGGACAAAATGCATTTGTTTCTGGACAAAAAAAAGTAGTCGTTAGCGAGTTCGATAAGATCGATGAGACAATCATAGTCGTATGTAAATTTTTATTTCTTGTTTATATGAAATTCTGGAAGAAAAAAACAGAAGTACGAATGCTGTACGAGTCACACGCTGCTTCCACAGTCCAGAATTTCATAAAAACAAAAAAATTCGAGGGGATGAGGAAGAGGGGAAGGGGTGGCCGGCATATTTGCCTACGAGACAAACAGTGCTTGAAGAAAACAAAAAAAGAACATAAGTGAACGCCCTTTCTTTTAAAGTGCTTCCAAAGCATATCCTGAGCAAGAAATCAGATGCTGAATGAAAACCAGCAAGCACAAGCTTACCAGTTTTAACTCAGCATCAAATTCTTCGTTGAGCTTTACAATGATAAACCGCTTCTTTGTATGTACTCCAGTGCATTTTGTCCCGCATTTTCAGCTCAGGAACCACGTAAGCTGGAATGCTGAAATGTTAGCAGAATATGCGCCGCCTACGTGTGACCCCGCAAATTTATATTCAGCCCTTCCTTACCTTTGAATATCAAGTACGACCCCATGAAGATTCTGGTGAGGAAAATTATTACCTCGGGAACCACGAAAGTTAGGAGGCTGAAATTTTAAGTATTTCCCCGGCTCACGTACGACATCACAAATTTAAATTCAGCCTTCCAGCCTGTCTGCGTAACACGTATGGCCCCGTGAAAGTTTCAGCAGGGAAAATTATCATCTCGAAACCGCTAAAGCTGGGAAACTGAAATTTTGGGATGCTCCCTACCCAAAAGCGAATCCGCAAATTCAAATTCAGCTCTCATGTAAACCTGGTCTCACGT